TCGCATCGGGTGGACGAAAGGGGAGGCCGGGGTTTCTACTTGATTCGCCTTCAAGTGCGCTTTATAGCTAATATAGCGCTCTCTATATATATGTAGAGAGAGAGAGAGAGAGGGATATGTAATCAAACTCGCTCCCCTCTACAACTTTGAAAGCTTCAATTGAGGAACACTAACGGGGTGCGTTGTGAATTTGGCATCTAATATCTCCTTGAGATTATACTAAGTGGCCGGTGGTTTATGCGTAGACGGATAAACCTAGCCTCCACTAATGAAAGAAAAATACGATGAGATGCAGCTTCGCAGGAACTAAATTCTAGAAAGGTTTCGTCAGTGATTCGCATGCACATGAGTACGTTTTACAATATGAAAAGCGAGAAAGGATGATAAACTGTGACTACCCGCACACAACTCCCGCACCACACTTTGCTGAACCTGATAGAAAATCTTCGCGCAATTTAAAAAAAAACATACCAAAATGCATTGCATCCTTGTAAAATGATGCCCCTTGAACAACGGATTCTTGCCTTCGATACTACGTTGACGGACCAATGATTAAAACACCGATAAATCGGTATTTAAGGCACCACAACCACTCTAACGAGGCTGATAACGAATTAAACTAAGGGAAGTTGAGTAGATTGTTAATTCTGCTGCACATCAATAATCACAAGAGATAAAATTGAAACAAACAGTCTCCCTCTGCGTCTTTCATGAGCTTCACAGGGCTCGTGTTCATTCGAGTTCTCACGTAACGTCACATTACCCACCCATAAACGCACCCGAACGTTCTTTTCTCTTTGACTTCTAAGAGACCCGAATCACTTTTTATCCCCATTGAGCACTCATTTTTACCATTTAAACCCCATCCTTTCCTTTCAGAGGCACCTAGGCGCAATGCCATGCGTAACCTGTAGCGATCTCTCCCCACATACACACACATACATAGAATCCCTTCAAACTTAGAAATGCATTTACAACGTATACTGACGACTTTATTTCCTTCTCATAACTACGTTCTTTCCCCGGAGCAGAGGGTGTGCAGCATAGAACCGGTCGATCTGTCATCCTCTATGCAAGCCACTTACTAGGGCATGCTCTCCTTCCCTCTGTCATCTACGAACTAGCAGCAAAGCGGTAAGTTACGCGTAGGCCGGACCGGAAGGTGTTCAAATAAATCGATCCATCCCCTATCATTGCTGGAATTGCTCACGGAAGGACGATATGACAATCATGATGATAATAATTAATAAGAACCTAAATGGTGAAACCCACCATGTATGACATTCAAAAGGATATATTTGACCTACATTAGGAAAATACACCGGGGTAAGACTAAAATTTTTACGCCCCTAGCAAACGCTGCAGAACTATTTTACCGATTTAGCAAAGACAAAAAGAGGTGAAGATAAACGCAGACAAAATGACTACAGACTAAAAAGCAAAAGTACTGCGTGAAATATATGTCTCAGCGGGTAAAACACGAATTGAATTCATTCCAGGCCTTCTCCTTCATACTCAAAGAGTTATCAAAGACATTTTCTAATCAAAAGCACAAATCTAATAGCTCTGTATGAATGTTCCCCTCCATGCTCTCCTCTTCCTTATTCGTTCCGCATGCCTTCAGATCCTAAAAACAGAACGATAAATTCAAGGAGCGCGACGTGTTTTTCCTTCCATTGATATGTATTTTCTCTATCCACGAAAAGGAAAACAATACCATCATCTCAGCAATATGGTTCGAGAAACATCGCATTAGTTCGATTTACCTCAGCAAGCAAAGCTAGTCGTTGCTCCGCTGATAGGCAGAGCCTATCACAGCGGTTTTCCGCACCTCCGCAAGGATCCTTCCGAGTAGAAAAGTCCTCGATATGAACACTAGTCTCTGCTGTTGAATCGTACGTTGCTTTAACACCTTTGGCTTCTGATTTTCTATCTTTAGCAGTAAAGTCTTCCCCAAAGGCTGTTGGTCTCGCGATCTCGCCGCGCGCGGGCGTGAAGGATGCAAGAAGATCGTGCTCAGAGGCCTGCATTAGCCATGAAACGAAGTACCGCGAGCAGCTGCGCGTGAGAAGAGCATCACCTAGGTAATCGGCCGTGGTGAGAAGCTCCAGGAGGCGTTGCTGCTGAACGGCAGATAAAGGCAGCGTTGAGGCGCATCGCAGCTCATCCGTACACTCGTAAAGCGGAAAGTACGGCGCCGCACGCGCGCCCGACCCCGGATTTAACTCTTTTCCCTGCCGAAGAACCACATTTTCGAGGAAGGAGGTGATTAGCGAATCCCAGATCTCATCCTTCGTATCCAACAACGCTGGAAAGAATGAAAAAGGAGGAGGTAGCGAAGAAGAAGAGGCGGCGCTGGCGGTAGGAAACGCACGGATGCTATTCCCTATCATCGCCGCACCGTCTTCATACCGCCTCCAAGCCCTGAAGTCGGTGAAACCACCCTCCCTATCGAACGATGTGTTCGCTGACGATTCGCTGCCCCCCCCCTCCGCCTCCGCGCTCGTGGTGGAGGCTGTAGTAAAGGAATCCGAAAGAAGGTGGGGTGCCGGCGTCGTTTTGCCCGCCGATCGCGCCCGATCCCCTTCTCTTTCTTTTCCGTTTCGTTCTGCAGCGTCCTCGCGCGCCCGCACGCGTCGTTTTTCCTCGCGCATCTCTTCGAGTAGACGCGTCGTCCAATCGCAGTAGACGAGATACGCGACGTACCACCGCAGCGTTGCGGCGTGGGCGACGGGGACGACCCCCTCCCCCACCCCGGCCGCCCGCGCCGATTCGAGGAAAAGTGAACGACCCAAAGTGGATTCTGAGAGCGGTGGTACCGCCACGGGGATGCCTTCTGCTGAAATAAACGAAAAAGTACTCATTGGGTTTGAAATTGCCTTATTTTTTTAGGGGGAAGGGGGGGGGAGCGGAGTTCAATGGGAAATGAAAAAGAAGAAAGGGCAGATGGGATCGCGTGGGTAGCGTCTTTATGGATATGGGATGGTGCTGTAGGAACACTTTCTTCTTATTCCTCAAAAAGCTAAAATAGGATGATCAAATACCTGATGCGGACTTATGGTATACACCACATACAACGCCTGACGCATCGGAGGGTAGAAGGACTAGTAAGCTATTATAGATTCTTCTGTGATTTTCTATTTTCTCCCCTACTCCTACACGACCTGTTCAGATACAAAATAATAGTAATAAAAATTTAATAAGAAGATAACTTACCAATAGGAAAAGTCGTATACATATACAGCATGATGGAGAACTGAATAATGATGCGATATACATAACTTATTTTATCAGTCATAGCACCTGCAAAGAAAAGCAGCATCAGACCCTTTTATAGCAATATCAACGACATTTTTCATCACCCTTATAGTGAAAAAAAAAAGGGGGGGCATGTAAACACCAATCATCCTTTACATTTCCCTCCTTCTCCCCCTGTCACCCCATATTGTAAGTATGTGGCATCAACTAGATCACGATACGCTAAAAGAAAATTTAAAGAACCGCTAATTTAGCGCGTTTCTTTTTTAAGATTAGTAGAAATCTTCGAGGTCGAGGAAGAGGCCTTCAAATTCTTCGGCGGTGAACCCAGTGCGGTGCCGTTGGGCGAAAGATTCCACGTCAAAGACCGCCACGATGGCTGATACTTTGGCAAAGCAGAAGTTGGCGATATTTGCGCGTTACCTTGCGGCGCTACATCCCCTTCTCGCGTACCACGGGGGGTCGCCTCCGCGCAAGCGTCCTGAACGACAAAAAAACCCATCAGCTGCTCAGTACGGGTAGAGAAAGATTCGGAAGGCGGCGGAAGGGGATCGGCCGAGGGTGGGTCCGTTTTAGCCTTTGGGGCGTCCGATAACGATTTCGACGTGAAATATCGACTCTCCAAGTCGTACGTCGCGGCCTCGGCCTGGAATTGCCGCCAAATGGGCGTTCCTTCGTGCAGGATGCGCTGCAGAACGCCATGGACGAGCTCCGAGATCAGATTTTCCATCGCGTGCGAGGCTAACACGTGGAGGACGATCGTCTCCGCGGCCGCCTTGTTCGCCACACTCCGAGGCCGATCGCGGCGCTGAAACTGAACGAGCTCCCCGATGCAACCGAGCAGAACGAGCGCGCGGCCGTCGAGAAAAACACGCCGTGAGGCCTTCCCCGGCGAGGTTGGTTCCCCTGCCAAAGGAGGGGCCGCCTCTGGGCGATGCGCGAGTTCGGACCCCCCTGGCGACCGCGCCGCGAGGATGTGATCCATCCGAACCTCATCGTACAACCGGGCGAGTGGGCGAGGGGATAAGGTGTAGATCGCGATCGCCTCCAACTCCACCGCGCTCGCGCCGGGGATCAGCCGCGCGACGCGATTCACCACCTCCTCCCGCGCATACCCCTCCCCGACGAGGACGTAGCGCAGAAACCCATCGCTGACGACGGGCGCCATCGCCCGCGTTTCGGGGTCGTCTTCGATCGCCGTCGCGGATGCGATCCGCTGGGCGGTTTCGGTGGGGGGCTCCGTCGAATTCGGGGTGGCCGCGTGAAACGGGAGCCCCTCGCGTAGGATCCCGCGCTCCGCGAGGTGGCGTAGCGTCGATCCGAGCCGCGCGCGGCGTCGACGCTCCCTTTCCCACGCCGCGGCGTCGACGCCCGCGAAATCCATCCGAAGGTGCCTCGACAGCTGCGAGAGAATCGCGGTGCCGCGCTCCGGGCTCGCGAAGGCCCCGCAGACGGCCGCCCGCGCGATATGCAGCGGCGTCGACGCGTGCTCCCGCCAGCTTTGATAAGGCCGATCGCACAACCCACAACGCGATTCCTTTCCCTTTCCCTTCACCGAAGGCGACGCGAAGGACGACGAAAGGGAAAGCGGAAACGGAAACGAGCCGGCCCGCGAGGAAACCCCGCCGGAAGGGGCGTTGGGATCCCCAGAGGGCCGCGCGAGGCTGCGGCGCGTGAGCGACGACGCGGATCGGCGGAACGGGCAGAGCGCGAAACCCACCGCGGCGGCCCTGGGTTGGCGCACCCGATAACGCACCCCCCGTGCGGGATGGAACTTGGAAAGCGTGAAAAGGTTAGTCATAGGCATCTCCCCTGCAAAAATGATAAGGAAAAAGAAAAGAACAAAGAAGGGGGTAGGAGAAAAGGTGGCGTCAATTGAGCGGTGAAATCCACCTCTGACAAGGATACACGTCGGGTCAATCCATTTTGGGGGGTTTCCGTTTTGGTCCTTCCTCTTCATGTTTGACAATCCAAACGGTTTAAGCGAAAAAAAACAAATGAGTTAAATATTTCGTACATATAGTCATAATATTCGTATATATCCTTTCATACTGTTATGGAACATCCATAAACAGCAACCATTCCTAAAATTTCTACTTTGAATAATCAAGAACGACAATAAAAATAACAACCAAGCACTGTGTGATATATGACAGAATATAAATTTTCATTTCATTCTACTACGTATATATTTTGAAAAAGAAAACGATTTGAAGGAGCAATACCCTTAATGACGGAGTAAGCGCATTTGATATTACCTGGAAGGAACTAAATAAGTATCAAAAAGAAGAGTAGCCCATTTCTGAATTAGAAATAACCTTTTTACCATTCTGTGGGCTTACTTTTTTTAAAATAGAGAGATATAGATTTCTGCTTTTTCCCTGATTTCTTTTTGTGCTTGTCTTAATCATTATTTTGATGCGGAAAAGCATGCTTTGTATATATATATATATCATACAACACTTTTTTTCATGCATTACATCCTACTTCCTTATTATTGTCTATTTTTTCTCTGACTTCTTACACCTCGATCGATAGCAGTAAAAGGCACCCTGAGCTACTCCAGCAACCACAAGCACCGCCGCGGCAACCTTCACACCCATAACGACGGCCTCACCGTATTTTTCGCTCAAATTCCCGCATTTACACTGAATGGAGCTGGATTTGCTATCACTGACGGCAGAAGTCGCTTGTTTAGCCTTCCCGCTGATGTTGAGCCTCACCGCTTTCAGATCCTCGGCCACCGCGCTCGAAACTTCACGCGCCTTCGCGATCGGTGCGGAGGCTGGCGGGGCGATCTCTTTTTTTGAGCCGTATGCCTTTTCCACCATATTCCTCGCCCCCTCCGTGGCGCTCCCTGCTAAGCTGCAAACAGCCTCTTTGCTGTATGTATAGCCATCACCAATGCTGGTGCATATCCGCTCCAGAAAGGATGGTCCAGATTCATTGCCACAGCCCATCATTGTTGTTTTATCGTTTCTTTTTTTGGAGTTTGTTTGTAGATTGCTTGGTAAGTAAGGGAATCACTTTTCATAAGAAAAAAAAGGAGTAGAAACGGATACGCGTTTTTATTTTTACCTCGTTCTTCTACGCAATTCCTATATTATTCACAGAAGAGAGACAACCAAACAGCTGCGAACAGGATGATGTTCTTTTTTCTTTAAAATAAAGGATCAAAACAAAACGAAAAGATGAATCACAGCTTCATTCACAGGCCTGCGCGCTTCCATCCACACACCCATCACCCCGCCTCCTTCACCCCACTAAAAGACGAACCCCTCGAAAAGAAACCAAAAAAGGCGAGGTGGAAAGGGCAAATGAGGGGAATTCCATAGGATTCCTGCCTTACTTCCCCTTTTTTTTTCTTTTCATCCTCCTTTTCCGTCATTGTTTTCTTTTATGTGAGGAGA